CGTTTCACATAATTGGATTTCAAATTCTGATTTATTCTGTTCAAATCCAAATTCTTTTTTATCAACTTTAAATTTTTCTTTGTATTGCATATAAGAAAGCCGTCCCTTTGAAGAATTAAAGTATTTTTTTTTTCTCCATTCCTTTTGATATTAGACTGTGTGTCCCAGGCAATTATCCTGACCCTGATAAATTTAGCAGGGTGAAACATTTGTTAGTACTTCCATGTTTTGGAGCACTGCTGGAAATGCAGACTACTTTTATTTTATTCTGAAGTAGAATACTGCTAAACTAATCAATATACTATGACTTTAACATCTGTACGAATGTCAGTACCATAAAATGCTTAGCTCTTTCCAGATGAAGAAAGATGATATATTCACTGACCTTTATTTAATGGAAAACATCACATAGCATGGCTATTATCTTATGAAAATAGCCATATACTTAAGACAAGTCAACCTTTACAGTAGAAAGTACTGTAAGATATATCCACAACTCAGTTTATTTGTGCAAGTGGCCAGATGGATATCTGCCAGAAAAATTGTCACGTAGAATCATTTTTCAGTGCAGTATTTGGATTAATTGCAGCCATTCTTTTGCACAGCAAGAGTTTCACAAATTGAATGGGAGGCCACTGTATTGAAACAACTTGTTAAGTCATGATTTTTAACACACAACAATGTCTGGATTGCACATAACAACAGCCCATAACAAGTAGATTGATACATCATGCTTTTTTGTTGTTGTTAAGTCGTGTCCGACTCTTCGTGACCCCATGAACCATATTGTGCCAGGCCTTCCTGTCCTTCACTGCCTCCCTGAGTTTGCTCAGTTTCATGCTCAACATCATGCTTAGTTGACAACAAACCACAATATAGTTTAGTACTGTGGATTAATTTGGCCAGAGAGAGAGAGAAGATGACACTATGACTACCATGTGCACTAGCAGCTCACCCTGGATGAAATGTCAACCCCAGAAAAAGTTCCCTAGTCATGCCATGCCATGATGATTAGGTTACCCAAGCAGAAAGACATTTGCTTCTGTTATTAAAACAGGATTCTCTCCTTTATGAGATAGAGTGATGTATTGTATCTTTCTCTTTAGATTTTTGGACAAAGCACCTGATGGGCCAGTATTCATAGGGCTGTGTTTTCTGGTTCGAGCAATGGATGCCATCGGTTTTTCTGCTGCGGGGACAGCCTCATTTTCTATTCTCATAAACACTTTCCCCCAAAATGTAGCTACAGCTATGGTATGTATGAAGCCGATCAAAACCATGTCATGTTGTGATGACTTCTGGGAAAATAGACCTAGCTCTGCTGGGGAACATAGGGTCAGATGAATGGCTATTTAAAATGCCTACATAGTGTACATCTAACAACATTTCTAACACGATGTATACTTTGGTTCTCTGAATACAGTATGCGTGACCATCACTTAGGATGAGCACCTCTTTTCTAAAAAAAATCTAAAAGCTCCCCACCCCTGCCAACATAGTATTTTCCAGCCTAATACACAACAAAAGAACACAGTCCCTTTCTTGAAAGCTACTGTGCTGCTTTTGCTTTTCTGCCTCTCCTTACCCCAAGCTTTCATTTAATCTTCAATCTGGCACCCGTTTTGCAGCCTCACCCCAAAGCGTGCCTTCTCTGTCGCGGCCCCCACCACCCTCTGGAACAGCATCCCCTCAGAGTTCAGGACAGCGCCCTGTCTCCTGGGGTTCCAGAAAGCTCTCGAGACCTGGCTTTGGGGTCAGGCCTGGGGTTAATGTGTTTGTGGGGGCCCTGGTCTGCTTTGTTATTGTTATGATTGTTTTAGTCCAGGCTGCCTGTGGTGCTGTATTTTTTTAAACTGCTTTTATTGTTTTTGTATTTGTAAACTGCCCAGAGCCTATGAGAGTGGGCAGCTATAATTAATAATTAGTAATAATAATAATAATAAAACACAATCATAATGCATGATATGTATTTCACTATCTTTTTCTTTCCATCCCAATTGGACCCTGTTGTATATTCAGGGAGAGGAAACAAGTATATTATGATTATGATTATTAGATATTTATCCTGCCTTTTTTATATATAACTCAAGCTGGTCAACTTACCTAGTACTAATAATAGCGGGTCAGAATATCATGGTGATGATGGGTATTGGGAAGGTACAGTGGGAGACTGGGGGTGGGACGCTTTTGGGGAACGCGGGCCCGGTGCCAAGTACCACTACCACATTCCAGCCCCCAGAACTCAACCCCATTTCCTGGACAGCAGGCCTTCAGAGGCCCTGGGTTTTGGCCGTTGCTGCTAAATGCCAGATAAGCCTGCAATAAAACTCCCTCATCTGTGATTTAATGACCTGGTATGTATTACCAAGACCTGGCTGGGTCCAGAGTGGGGTAGTCCCCTCTTGGAAATGTGCCCAGCGGGATTTCATGTGTGACATCAGCCAAGACTCCGGGGCGGGGGTGTGGCGGTTATCATCCAGGAGTCTCTTGCGGCTTTCAGGGATGCTGTTTCATAGGTTGCCGGATGTGAGACCCTGTTCCTTAAGTTGGGCTGTAGGGATCAGTTGGGATTGTTGCTACTGTATAAGCCTCCCTGCTGCATAGCAACCTCCCTGAGGGACAGCTCCTTGACTCTGTCTCGGGGTTGGCAGTGGAATTCCCCAGGCTTATGGTTCTTGGAGACTTCAGTCTGCCTTCTCTGGAAGCAGGGTCCGAGGTGGCTCAGGAATTAATAGCCACCATGACAGCCATAGGCCTATCCCGGGTCATCCAGGTCCTGACGCAGGGCAGTGGTCGCACACCTGATCTGGTTTTCCTGCTGGAGCAGTGGCAATGTGATCTGAAGTTGAAGGAGTTCTCTGTAGCTCCCCTGTCATAGTGAGATCATGAGATTCTCTGACACTGCCTCCTGCTGCAGGGAGGTGGGACCTATTAGATTGGTCTGCCCCCAGTGACTAATGGACCCTAATGGGTCCCAGAAGGAACTGGGTGTTGTTCCCGGTGGTCTGCTCTACAGCTGTCTGAGGCCTTGGTTGTCACTTGGAATGAGATGGTGGCTGAGGTTTTGGATCAGATCATGCCCATGTGACCTCTCCTGTCCCATGGATCCCGTTGCTCTCCATGGTTTATGGAAGATCTGAGAAAGATGAAACAGGAGAAGCAAACGCTGCTGGAGGTTGATGAGGGTTGAACTTAATCGAACATGGGTGAGAACCGCTATTAAGGCCTATCTAGTGGAGGTAAGGGTGGCGAAATGACAATACTTTTCTGCCCTTATTGCATCTGCAGATAGCCACCTGACAGCTTTATTTAGGGTGACATGAGCCCTCCCAGGGAAGGAGGACTCAGAAGTTCTTTTACAGGGCTGCACAGAAGAATTTGCAGATCACCTGTTGGACAAAATCACTCAAATTTGTTCCCAGTTAGATGCCAGCTTTGGTTCAGGTCTGGTGCAGGTGCCTGGGACACAGTCTTGCTTGGTTATCTGGGAATGGTTTGAACCTGTTTGACCTGAGGAAGTGGACATGGTCCTTATGACTGTGAGCTCAGCCACCTGCTCCTTAGATCTATGCCCCTCCTGCCTAGTTAAGGTTGCTCAGGGGGTGTTGTATGATTGGGTTCTAGCAGTGGTTAATTCATCCTTGAGAGAGGGGGTTGTTCTGGCGACCTTTAAGGAGGCTTTGGTCCGCCCCCTCCTCAAGAAGCCATCATTGGACCCCACTATAATGGACAATTTTCATCTAGTATTGAACCTCCCTTTCTTAGGGAAGGTTGTGAAGAAGGTGATTGAGCAGAAGCTTCAGCAGGCCCTGGATGAAGCAGATTATTTGGACCCCTTTCAGTCAGGATTCAGGCATGGGCATGGGACGGAAATGATATGGATCATGCTTTCAGATGATCTCTGGCAGGAGTGGGACGGGGTAGTGCATCTGTCCTTGTTCTCCTTGACCTCTCGGTGGCCTCTGAGTGCCTTTTCTGCTGTGGCTTCTGCTTTCAGGAACATTATCCCCCCTGAGGTGAGGTTAGCCCTGTCCCCATTAGCCATTTGGAGGGCTCTGAAAACATGGTTCTTCCAGTAACTTTGGGGATCCCGTGGGGATCCTGCATGATGGTTTCACTGTGTTTAGATGGATGTTCCCCCACAATCTTGCTTCTATTATCTTATTTATCTTGTTTTCATTTATTTTTTAAAGTGTTTTAATAGTAGTGATATTGTTTTAACTATTGGTTATACGCCATCTAGAGTCGCATTTAGTGAGATGGGCAGTTATATAAATGTGTTAAATAAATAAATACTCCTGCCTCCTCCTATTTCCCCCATAACAACAACCCTGTGAGGTGGGTTGGGCTAAGAGAGAGTGATTGGCCCCAAGTCACCCATCTGGCTTTAATGCCTAAGCAACATAAATAGCACTATTCTTTCTAATAAATAACCTTTAACATGATACAGTGGTTAAAATGCTGAACTTGGATTTTGGAGACTCAGGTTCAAGTCCCATTCAGCCACAAATTTGCTAGGGAATTTTGGGCCAGGCGCACTCTTTTTCACTCTGTTGTATCCCACAGGGTTACTCTTGTGAAGATAAAAAAAGCAGCTGGAGAAAAAGTGTGATGTATAGTAATAATAATAAAAAATATATACAATCCTGTATTACATAAAAACTTGGAGCCCTCCCTTTTCCCTTCTCTTCTTTCTGTATAGCACAAGAGTCCATTGCTTGCTGATTGTTTCTACAGTATTTTATTTCACATTTCAGAGCAGAAAAGTAAGTTTTAAGGATTCTAGAAAGAGTGTTTTGAAACATCAAACACATTTTAAGCATTAAAAAATGTTAAATAAGCAGAAGCATTTTAGAACTTAAAATGACAACACAGAGCAATTCAGGGTAAGATTAGTTACATAATATAAAACAACAAGCAGAGGCAGAGAAAAAAATCCAGTTCAATATTATTAATTAAATGGGGACTTGTTTATGAAAACTTATTCAAAAATGATCAAAATGATCAAACCTACACTATGCGTATATTTCATAAATAGGAGGCCATCACTGAAATGATCCTGTCCTTTGCCAGCTGCTTGTTTGACCTGAATAGCTAACAATTCAGAATAATCTAATCTAGGAGGCCAGAAAAGTTGATTGGGGTGTAGTCCTTTTAATAATTTTTTTTCTTGTGCCTTTGAGTCAGCATTGACTCCTGGCAACAGCCTGGACTAGTCCCTGCAGTTTTCTTGGCAAGATTTCAGAAGTAGTTTGCCATTGCCTCCTTCTTGGGGCTTAGAGAGAGTGACTGGACCGAGGGCACCCAGCTGGCTTTGTGTCTAAGGTGGGGCTAGTCTGGTTTCTTGTCTGGTGCCTTAACCACTACACCAAACTGGCTTGTCCCAGGCTTAATTAAGGTTCTGCAATGCAGAAAATGGAGGCACTTTATCTCTAACCAAAGCTTAAGGCAGCTGACTTTGCTTCAGTGGAAAGGTCTTCTGTGATCTGTCCAGAAAAACCATAGAGGGCCAGTGAAGCATTGCTTTAAAATGGCACAGCAATTCAGTGAAACAGGGTGTCATATTATTTTGCAGAGTTTTAACCAGTCATAAGAATGATCAGCCTTTTAAAATGCACTAGCAATTATTGTAGTGGGGTTCAGTACACATGTTACATACTTAGATTAGACAAGTCATACAAATCATTCTTACAGTACTCTTGTTGATAAATGGTAGTTATTCACCAAGACCATGATTTTCTGCTGGTGCAAGAAGTCCATCCTTTCTCACTGCATTTCTGCCTCTTCCTTCTTTTTAGGGCATTCTTGAAATTTTTACTGGATTGGGATTAGTGATGGGGCCCCCAATTGGTGGCTTTTTGTACCAGAGTTTTGGCTATGAAGTCCCTTTCATTGCACTTGGAAGTACAACGCTGCTCATGGTGCCTCTGAACATGTATATCTTACCAAATTATGGTAGGTGGAGGTTTTATTGCCTTCCTTTTTAAAACTGGGGAAGAGAAGGGGAAAAAAAGGTTTGTGCTGTTTAATTCAACTACAGGTAGTCCTCGACTTATGACAATTTATTTAGTGACTGTTCAAAGTTATGATGGCACTGAAAAAAGTGACTTACAACTAGTCCTCACGCTTATGACAATCGCAGTGTCCCCACGGTCATGTGATCAAAGTTCAGGCACTTGGCAACTAGCATGTATTTATGATAGTTGCAGCGTCCTAGGGTCACATGATTGCCATTTGCGACCTTCCCAGGGAGCTTCTGACAAGCAAAATCAATGGGAAACCACATGATTCATTTAACAACTATGTGATTCGCTTAATGACCACCACAAAAAATTGGGTGTGATCATGTGATGCCTTGCTTAATGATCACACTGCTTAACAATGAATTTTCCAGTCCCTATTGTGGTCATAGTCAAGGACTACCTGTAATGAAGTTTCTTTCCTGGAGAATGGGCTATTGTTTATTTTTGTTACTATTATCCCTAGTAGTCTCTGGCTGTAATCCATAGAACTCTTTTCCATAATTTCATGGATTTTAGAGTTGTGCAGTGCTGTGATAAAATTTCAGAAAATACCTTTTCAGGTACTTGGGAGCACAAACAGCACCTGTTTGCAACTCTTGAAAGCAGCTTCATCTTCTCCCATGATTGCATGCTGCTACATGATTTCAGGAAAAGATGGGGTTGTTTTAAAAAATTGCAGAGAGGTGCTACACACCAGAACTCTACTGTAATGCTTTTTGTCTTAAATGGCAGTCTGACCTCACATGCCTCAGTGAAAGCTTAGAAAGCAGTGAGAGACAGGAGAGATGATGATAGCACAATGAAAAAATCTTGTGGGTATTTCAGGTGGGTGTGTCCTGCAGGAAGAAATTGCTTTTTTTGTTTCTTTGAAATAAATGCATTAAAGGTAGACACCTCTGACTGTGTTTCTACAGTGCTGAAAATTAATTTCATATAAATTTATATGAAATTTAATGAATACAATTTAATAAATAAATGTACTAAATAAATAAATAATTATAGAAACATTATTGCCAATGGAGTGTGTCAGCCACTCTGATAAGCATGTTCTGCAGGTTCTTATAGCATTTTAAATGCTTGGAAATGGGCTGGGCTGAAGTTGACATTGAGACGAGAAATTTATTTGGGCATAATACTTCCAGCTGTCTTATCATTCTCTATATCCGTCTATATGCTGTACAAGTAGTTCTCAGTTTAAGAATGAGTTTTGTTCCCAAGGTCTGTCCTTAAGTCGAATTTGTATGTAAGCCAGAACAGTATTATTGTTATATTAATTAATTAATTAATTAAATGAATAATACATTGTATAATTAACTTGAACCATTGCATATTTAACTTGAATCATGTGTATTTAACTCAAATTTTGCTACAATAGATTCCATTCTTAACTATGGGTCGTTCTTAAACCAGGTGTTCTTAACCCAGGGACTACCTGTACGCTACTACTGCTTCATTATATACAGTATATAGGGTGCTAGTTTCTGTCCTGACATATGGAGCCTGCTAATAATTGATATTTTAAATGATTCCTGTTAATTCTTGTTTATAAGAAAATGCATGATGAATACAATTTGTGAATCAGCCTGCGTAACTGAAACAACTGGTTAGGCATAAACAGGGAAAGGCTATCTTCCCCTTTCTTTATCTGAATTCAGGACTGTAGGCTCAGGGCAAGGACTAATAGATTTTAATCTGTAAAAAAATTGTTACAGATTAGTTACTATAATAATTAATGTTATATTCTGTGTTTTTCTAATTACAGATTCAGTCCCTAAAAAAGATTCGTTCTTGAAGCTTATTGTTCTACCAAAAGTTCTAATCCTTTGTCTAGCTATATTTGGACTAAGTGCAGGCTTAGCCTTTCTAGATCCTACAATGTCATTATTTGTCTTGGAAAAAGTAGGTACTTCTAGGAACAAAAAAATCTTTTAGATACATCCTATCCATTCGAAAATAACTCTTTAAGCTTAATAGATTTGATGAAAGATTTATAAATCCTGGGTCTAAGAAATATTAGCTGCTGGATTTGCCATTCAAATCTCTAGGTGCCTCTTCCTATACTGTAACTTTAATTAAGGGTGTCAAAGGGCCATATGTGCTCCAAAAAGCAAATGAGCTCATGTCTCAGAAATTATAACTTTTAAAACAATGGAAGGAGAAAATTATTAAAATTAAATACAATGGATGTGATTAATCTTCAGCCATGTAGTCAGTAAAGTAAATGGAATGAAACATAGGTATCCCTGGGGGGATAAGAAGGGGCAACGGACAAAATGGGTATCACAATGTCATGGGTACAACTCCGCCCCTTAGGTATTTGCATGAGATGTGATGCAAATACAAAACCAGTGGAAATTGCATTATGATACCCCAGCACACGTTTGCATTATTTTGGCATCATTGTGGTTAGGAGCAAATCCCTGTAGAATGAAATAAAATTTATAAGTTCATTCTGGTACCACCCATTCTTTTTCCCCTGCTCACCTCTTAAAGACTGAATGTAGCCCTTGGTTTGGAAAAAATTATGTCCCCTGTTTCAAGCCAAAACTGGGTTGGAGAGGGAGAGATGTGAGAAAAGATAAAGCTCAGTCAACTAGGTTGGTTGGTGGGTGACAAATCCTCCTTTTGTACTTGTGAGCTAAAGTCAGACAGACATGTTAGTGATTCCAAATGCATATACATTTGAAACATATTTACAAATGCCACTCCATTTTAGGCTAATTATAATTAAGGACAATACTGTTGGTTTATTTTTAATTCTTAGCTCACAATTAGTGCAATTATATAATTACATATAATCATAACATTTTCAATAGACTAAAAATTCAGCCTATTTCTCTGCCATTATTAGATATTCATCCTCTTTTTTTAAGGGTTACTGGTGTTTTGTTTTGTTTTTAAAGTACAAATGTCACTTCGTGATTTGATATTGTATGTGTGTGTTGCATAGAAATGTATCATGAATGCATCTTGCTTTGCTCCAATAATTGTGAACTGTTACCTGAACCTCAAGTACTGATTTCTCTGTGTTCTTGGATCTGCCCCTTCATTGAAATTAATGGGAACATGATCGACTGTATTGTGTATCATCAGACTAACAGATACAATGGCCTAGGGCTGGAATAGACAGTATGGTTTCCTCCAGATGTTTTGGACTTCAAAATCCTTCAGCCCTTTAAGCTGAATGGTGGGAACTCCATAGGTAATAATGAGGGATCCAACTGGTTAGGATTATAGAGAAGTCCCTTCAGGAGCTGTGCCTAGGTTCCAGAATTTCCATCAACCATCTTATTTCCTCATTAGGGGTTTGGATTGATGAAGATCTTCTTTGTTAGGAAGGCCTTTAATGTTTAATTTGGTTGTGTGGGTAATTAAACAGATGTTTTAATACCTTATTTGTTACTGCTACTGCAGTAACACTTATTATTCTGTAGTTTTAGGGAAGTTGTGATCCATCTAGAAATATGTATAGGATAGCCGGGAGTTAAATGTTTTAAATAAATAAACTGATGAAGTCTTAATTCAGAACATCTGAAAGGCCTCAGAATGCCTCTGATAGATATGGCAGAAAATGACAAACTGATTTGCTTATTAAAAGAAAACTCAAATAACTATTACCTTAAAGAAAGGAAACCATTGATGGACTATTTGCAAAATGCAGGTGGGGTGAAGCTTACATGGGGATTTGAAGATTAGATTATAAATGTAATGGGATATGTTTAGACAAAGAATTATTCCTATTTAATGAATTAAAAACTAGCACTTATGATAGCCTTATTATTTCTAAGACCAGAGGTAGATTGGAATTTATCTGTTTTTCATATCTTTTTTTCTTTTACTTTACCACACCTTTTCTTTTTCTTTTCTTTATATTTTGTATTTCAAATTTTCCTTTTCATTTCTAACTTTTAAATATGTATCTTTAAAATCTCAGTAAAATATTATGAAAGGCCTCAGAATGCCTGTTATTCAACAGACTAGAACAGAATCTGTTCAGTTAATATCATATGCTATTTTTATGCCTTAACATGAATATTGGCTTTCTTTCTATAGTTTAAATTGCCAGCAGGCTACGTAGGATTAGTCTTCCTGGGATTAGCACTCTCTTATTCTGTAGCTTCACCACTTCTTGGTTTTCTAAGTGATAAAATACCGGTGAGTAGAAAATCTTACTCCAGCCTTATTTTAATTTGTAAAGTTCTATAGTGCCTTAAGTGAACCAAATTTGCATCCTAGAACATGTAATGTACTGGTCTTTCTCTTGAGACCAGTCAGCCTGGAGAATGAATGTAGAAAAAAGCTTGAAGGAATCTATTAAACTAAAAGGCTATCTAAAACAATATGAATATGAATGCTAGGTTCTGTTTGAACTGACGTGGAATATATGAAATGACATATAATGTGAGATTTCTCAGTTATTTCACTTTATTCCCTATTGGTTGAATTAATGCATTCAGTTTACTCAAATATGATATTTTGGTGAGAGTCAAGTTCTTTGTCTATCTCTTACAGTGGTTAAGGAAGTGGCTGTTAATCTTTGGAGGTTTGCTGACTGCATTATGCTATTTTTTCTTAGGACCAGCTCCCATCTTGCATATTGAAAGGTAAAATATACTTCACTGACTTCTCCACCACTGACAGTTTTCCTGTTCTGAAATTTTCCTATTCTTCAAGTCATCAATGAGAAGGGCTGTGTATATACTACCTTCCAATATCAAAAATTTGTACCCTGATAAATGAATTCTGCTGTCTTGCATTAGGTATTCTTTTTAATGTTTTCTTCAGCCTGTGGACAGAATAAAGGCTATCTGGTTTTGTTTTTCCTTACCTGTGAATGGGAATGCTCAGAGACATTGTATCCCCAGATCAAGAATTCCATTGTCATCTCATTTCATTCAACTTTTTATCTGGAAAGATCAGAGTGGTATTCCTGGAAAATGGTGCCAAATATATGAAGGGAATTAGGAGATTGCATGCTTTTCATTTACGTCAACAGGTATCAGTTTTCTAATAGGTGATTAGAGATTCAGCGATTGGCCCATGTTCTGGTCACTAAACTGCAGCCCTTCCCCAAATGGTATGTCGTTTCATGGGACTCAAAGTCGCATTTCCTGCTCCCTACCCTGGATCCTGTGCAGTGAGAAACATGGTTCTTGTTACTCATTGGCAAAATTAAACAATGGTTATGAAGTAAAGCTTATTAGACACCTTCAGGGAAATCAACACATCCCCATAGAAATTAGGCAGCTTTGAGCCCCAACAGCATTGGAATGTGTTAAAAATTATGAAGATTAGCCCAGAAATGGGGGTGCTAGTCTAAGGGCCCATCCACAGTACCAGGTTGCCCCATCATATAAGCCAACTGTTTCTGGAGGGCAGGAATGAGCAATGTCATCTTCTATCCATCCTCAGCCCAGTGTGAGTGTATACTCTGCCTGTTTTTTTTTTGTTTTTGTTTTTTGTTTTGCTCTGTGTTTAAAGGGGTGTTTTCCAGCTTGTGCCAGCTCAAGTGTTGCTATCCGGTTTGCTTGTTGCGTTTTGCTTTCTTGCTGGCAAACCCTGCACTTTAATTAGCCATGGTGCATAGTGGCTGGAATGCTCTCCCACCTGGATCACTAGTCTCTAATCTCTGCTCCAGCTACTGTTACTGTTGGTATAGTGTTGCATACCGGTTATAACATTTCTTTGACCTACAGAGGGTCACTGGTTCGAACTGGCAGAATCACTTCTGGTTTTGGTGTTGTCACGACTTTTCTTTCCTTGAGCTATTCACTTTTTCTTGGGTCTTCTTTTTAATAAGTCTATCAGTGCACCATTGAAATGTTGGGGTCTCTTCCCTTCCCTTCCCTTCCCTTCCCTTCCCTTCCCTTCCCTTCCCTTCCCTTCCC